TAAACAGAGATGCGTAACAAGATCATCAGCACATTTTCATGATGTCTTGGATTGTCTTTTGCCCCCTCTTGTTTGAAGAGCCCTAAGAGAACCTGACAAAGACAACACACTTTGCAGGGGTTTGTGTTCACAGAGCATTGCTGTCAGACCATTGACAGCCTAAAAACCACAACGCCAAGACTTCACTGAGGGACTTCTGCCGTTGTTGCCTGGTGTCAATAACTGAAGATTCTGATTTTTCACTGCAGAATCTTACCTCTCACCAAACAGCCTGGATGTGGGTTTCTAAATGATAGGATCAAAGAATTTTGAGTCAGAAGTAATTTTTCCAAAAAGGTTTAGCATTCTGAAACAAAGTAAATTCTCATTAATTGAGAAAAATGGATCTTAAAGGCTATTTAGCTCTACTTTCCAATTGGTTAAGAATGATCTCTCTCTATCATTTGAATACCTCTCGCGATGGGGAGTTCACCCTACATCATTGAACAGGATGAGTATAATATTAAAATTGCAAGGGTATAATCAGACCAATTCCCCATCGCTGACTGAAGTGCTATTAACTGGGTTTTATAAATATGAATTAACTTTTAATTTCAAGTCATTTAGAAAGAATATAACAATATCTATTGAGTAAAATCTTGGAAGTTAGCATAACTACTGGTGTTGATGTATATTATATAAAATGTAAGTCTACTGCATTGTAATTTTTTCATTTGTTTACTTCATTTATAAATCTAAGTTCATTATTTTTCTATTTCAACTTTAGTTAATGTGTATTTATTAGTCTTGGCACAATATTTTATAATATATACTCTCATTATAGGGAGACATTACATCCAAGTTGCCTGAAACCCTCCAGGTTTACACCTCATTATTTCAACACAATTTTTAATAGCATGCTTTTCACTCTCCAAAGTATCCTAGTTTGGATGATAAATTTTAGGATCAAGTATTGTACTTTAAAGTCTTAAGAAATTGTACGTCACTTTTAAAAACTGTACTAAAAATCTTCACAAATTATGGAAGCCCAACCCCCGATTTCTCTGCACTCTTCTCAATTAATAAGCTTCCATTTTATTTTGAAATGCTGAATCTTCTTGACTATAGTGCATTTTTAATCAAATGAATAGCTGCTCCGTGCTTAAGAACAACCACCACAGAGAGGCTGGAGCCTGTGCTCTCCGCGTGGATGGAGTGGCCCGCTGCCAACGGGATGTCACTTTCATTAAGTTATTGAGAGCTGGAGAGAACCTTTCTAAGTCGAGCACAGCATGTTGGCAAATGTAATGTGGATGTCCTCATGCCTGAGAAAGCATTCCCTCTACTAGACCATATTTCTTTCATCTTTGGGTGCCTCAGTTTCTCTGTCTCTAAAAGAGCACAATAATGCCTACTTCACAGGGCTGTTGTAGGATTAAAGGGACGATGGCCATAGGGCACTCTCAGCCATCAGGAACAAAGACATTAAGTAATTGCAAAATGTTCAGTTCCACTTCTCCAGCTTGTGAAAAAAGGGCTCCCACTGACTTGAAAGAGAGCATCACACGCAGAGGAGGAGAAGCCCACTGGGAGAGCAGAGCCTACTGCCTTCATTATCATTGTCCTAAAGTGCAGAGGAGAGAAAGAGCAACAAAGGAGCTACAGAGCTGTGGTCACAGAAAAACAAGACAAGGACAAAACTAACCAACGGTCCACAAAAGAAAATCTGAAAAAAATCAATGTCTTAGTTTTAAAATAATCTGTGAATATTATATGCTAGAAATAGTTTTCAAAGAACCATCTCTACATTCTCTGGTCACTTGATATAATAACAGATTTATATATTTTTCACAACGAGCATGCCCTTGTCCCTCACTCTATGCTTCCTTACATTATCCACTCAAATCTAGATGCCTAATGGCAGTTCAATGGCCACTTTCAAGTGGATTAAATTTATAAATTCCTATTTAGGCAGCATTCTCTAAATTACATTCAAATGACTAACCAATAGATAATGAAATTGAAAATGGTGATACTATTTTGGCATAAAATATTAATACATCCAAAGCTGAAGAATGAGTTTGGACAAGTAGAAAATGCCGTTGTTGCTTTGGTGAACTCGCAGTCAGTAGATGTAAGACATTCTGCCGTACGTTAATACATGCTACTAAAATCAAAGGGGGAAAACAATAAATAGTAGGAGACGTTGCTCCAAACAGTATTTTCCCAGCAAAAGCTGTGTCTCAAGAGTCCTTCAGAGCACTCTGGGAAAGCAAAGAAATTCGCAAATCAATTTGCTAAATTGGCTTGGCTGGAAATCATGCTTTTGTGCATGGATCCAGCTGAAAGGCTTTTCTAAATCTACCAGACTTGCCCAGGGCTTCTTCAACCAGTCAGGGGAGGTCGTAAAAAGAGCTTAGACTTCAGGGTCAGTTAGACTTGGGCTCAAATTCTAGCTCCACCATCTCACTGGCTGAGTGACTTGGGATAAGTCATACGACCTCTCTGAGAAGGGGATTACACAATCCTAACAGCCTTGCAAGGTGTTGGGAGGATTAAACACCCAGTATATGTCAAAGGGCCAAGCGTTATACTTAGTTTGACTTTTTCAGCGTAGCATAAACAACCCAGAATGAGAGAAGCCCACCCCAAAAACCATCCACTCCCTCACTCCACTGCAGGCCAGGTGGACAAGTAATATAACGTGAGAATAGTTTTAAAAACATTAACATAAAATGCTTGCATATACTTAACCAGAGTAGGGGCCTTATTTAAGCATCTGGAAGAGCCAAACTGCAGTTCTAACAACGGAGAAATTCTTAGATGTCAAAAGATATTCTATTTCACAGTCTGAGTAATTCTGCACTTGTAGAAATTATGCCCATGATTCATCTCTTCGAAAACCACACACCTTAGCCTTTCACAGTGGGCTTCCCAGGGGCTGCCTGCTGCCAGATGAGGCTTCAGTGCTGAGTTTGTAAGACACAGAAGTCAAGGCAATGGGTTCAGAGCACCCTGTCAGCCTTCTCATGCTCCAGGTGAAACAAACCAAGGCTTGGGGAGGCGAAGTTCCCTGTCCAAAACTCAAACAATGAAGGCCTTGGGGTAGGATTCTCAGGAAAACCACTATAAACCAACACTGTGACCAAAAAAATATAACAATAACCTCACCACAGATCTTTATTCACTGATATTTCCAATTCTGTGGCCAAACAATGTCATCTGCCTGTCTGGTATTTAAAATCTGTCCCTCAGGAAGGAAGTTTTACTCCAATATCACAATATTCCCCTAGAGGGGAACCTGCTAGGATAGGTCAGTGTCATTTTATACTTCCCAGTATGGTGTGGAAACCAGTGTCTAACATGTCTGTGGGTTGACAAATCTGACAGACAAAAAAAAATAATCATCAAAAGAACCCCTTTGACACTGATGTCCCTTGTGCTATCTCCTGGTAACAGACGCTGTGCTAGGCCTACAAGTTGGGTGAAATGGCATCCTTTGAACATGATTCCTCAGAGGGAAGTTATATAAGTCAAATATTTAGCACACATTTTACAGTGGCCATTATGCTTTTTTCTACACAAAAATCAAATTTTCCATTTAAACTTCTGAGCCTAATAATTTCTAATCACTGCTCAGTATATTTTAAAAGGTGATAGCCCATAGAGAGCAACATTTACAAACACTTAGAATTAGGTCCCTGTTTCATAACTCTCCAACTGCTAATCATCATTGATGACCAATTCTGGTTCCGTCTCTGGGATTAAGGGAACATTCTATCCTGAATATGCTAATTTAGAGACAGTGTTGTCAGGAGGCTAATTTCCAGCTCAAAGACACTTCCATGCTTAAAGCAGTTTTACATCAAAAGCCCTTGTAGGAGACTACCATCAAGACCAGGATAGGATGGAAGCTAGAGGAGGATATTAGGTCAGGGGACTTCCGGTGTTTAGGATTGGAGAGATCATAGAACCTATCTAAAAGCTAAGGAGAAAGAATTAGAAGAGACAAAAAGTTCAAAATCCAGAGGACAGAGGTGGTAATCCCTGAGAGATGATAAGGGCCCCAATGCATTGTTGGAGAGAAGAGGAGGGGAGAGGAAAGGGATGTAAGGAAGAAAAAGGAAGGAGGAGAGGAAGGAAGGCAGGCAAAGAAAGGGCCACAGGCAGTGACATTTTGAAGGAAGTTTAGGTGGCATTAGATATGGAGGTGAGGCATCCATGAATTAAAAAGGATCTCTTCACCAAAAGGTTTGGAATTTAACAGAGAAGTTCTGCTCAGCCACATAATTGTATATTGTAAGTATACACTCAGGGATTAAAAATATTTTAATTGAGGGGTTGGCCCGGTGACGCAGCGGTTAAGTTCGCACGTTCCACTTCAGCCGCCCAGGGTTTGCCGGTTCAGATCCCGGGTGCGGACATGGCACCGCTTGGCAAGCCATGCTGTGGCAGGCGTCCCACATATAAAGTGGAGGAAGATGGGCACGGATGTTAGCTCAGGGCCAGCCTTCCTCAGCAAAAAGAGGAGGATTGGCAGCAGATGTTAGCTCAGGGCTAATCTTCCTCAAAAAAAAGAAACATTTTAATTGATGTTTTCTCTTAAGGAATATGCTCAATTCATAATGGAAGAGAAAAAGATTTTCAATTAGATTGATTTTTGCAGAATAACAACTCCAAACTACTTGAATCCCAGCCTTTAATAAAATCCCTCCTAGGAAAGAAAAACTCAAACCCTAAACTACCAGGTTAATTCACAGTGTGGACATAAGAAATAACAATAATAACAGTTTAATATTTGGTTTGTAAAGTGAGAAAAGAAAGCACACTAAATTCTATAGAATAAGATTTCCTGATCCCAGAAATACTAAGAACTCGATAGGGTTTTTTTTGGCTGCAATGACTTGTAAATATCTAGAAGAGCCCAGATTTTGAAGCCCTAAGGACACTTGCTAAAACTCAGAAATTTGGCACTAGTCTTTGCACACAATTTGGGTTTTCTTTCAGAGTTGATATCTTACCAAATACAGCCATCTGTGTTCCCTCTGGGAAAGGTTCAACTGTTCTGTTGCCACTGACATGATGTTTGGCTAGAAAAAAAAAGAGAAAGAAAGAAATGCAAGTTAAGTGTAAAGTTCTACATGCATACTAACACATGTCATTAAATGTGTCAAAGAGCCTATTTCTCATTTTTAGTTAGAAATGGCACAAAGCTTACCCTCTTAAGAGAGCTTCAATTATTTTGTTTTAATTTTAATCTCAGTTACAAAAGAGCCTAGAGATGGTCTAGTTCAGACAGGTCATTTTACAAACGGGTGTGCCCAGGCCGGATCTTGCGCAGAACCGTACTGCTGGGAGCAGCAGAGCCAGCCCCGCCTGTAAGTTCCTGACTCGTGGTCAGAGGGTCCCCACTGGGCCAGGCTGTCACTTGAAAAACAATGGAAGCTCGGGGTTCCAGGGTGAACCGGGGCGGCTTCCTCTGAAAACTCCTGATGATCAGAATATTGACCCAGTCGGTAAAGTGAGCCATAAAGACAGCAGGGTAACACTGGACCAATTTTTCAAGAAACAGATTAGCAGAACACATCATTTCATTACACTTCAAGCAGTTCCCAGGGGCCAAAGACACTCGCCTTCTTAAAGACCAGACCGATATTTCAGTGCTTGTTACTACTCTCCAACCACCCTGATCCCCTCCACCGATCGTCCTTCCCACTCTAGTGCATACGAAGGACTTAGAAATAAAAAGTGGCCAGGTTATGGTTTTCCAGCATTAACTTATTCTCATAACTCCCAAACTACAAGCAGATAGAGAATATCGGACTATGGACCATCTAGGAATACATCTGAATAATACCCTCAGCAATTTTGGAATATGGGCATTTATGTTGAAATACATGAGAAGAATGGCTAAAACACGTTGACGCTGCATCATGGGGCATATCCATTTTGACTTAATGCATCATATTAGATTCACTGAGCTCTGGCAAAGACTTAGCACCAAAGCAAGGCTCCAAGGGGTCTAGGGGAAACTATGCCGTGGGTCTTCCCCTTCAAGAGGTAAAAATGTCCAAAGCAAACTTTACCAGAAGGCTTACAATTATGTGCTAAGTACTAGAATGGGGACTAAAGGTACTGTAACAATTTGTAGCAGAGGGACAGCAAGTTGGGAAGTCAGAGCCAGGAGCCTGGGGGAATTGCAACCAGTATAGAATCTTAAAGGAGAGAAAGGCTTTGGGAAGGCAGAGGGTGAGGAAGCAACACGTGAGAGTCAGGACTAGACGTAACCAAGCTACCGTCCTGGGCCAGAACCGAGTCTAGTCTGGCCAGAGTGGAGGTGATATGTTGAGAAGCAATGGCGATAACAGATTGGTAGGCAGGGACCCCGTCATGGAAGATCTCGAGAACCCCACCCAAACCCATGGGAATCCTAGACAGCCTCCACAGCACCAATCTAAGTCCTTAGAATCTGAAGGCTCATGAGGCTCAGTCTAGATTAGACAATCCCTTCAGGATACCATCAGTTCAGGGGCTTCCGCTGGTTCTTAAGTAATTGTGGCAGAATCCTAAGAACAGAAAACCTGGGAGAAGGGAAGGAGCCAGCCCAGGGTGAACCACAGAGCAAGCCTTAGAGTAGTCTGTAGGCACTAACTGTCACAATTAGCAAATGCAAGAGGAAAGGTCCCAGGTGCTTATGGGACCTTGTCAAGTACTCACTAACATGGTCAGGACCATTGTTTACTGAATCCAAAGAAAGGTGATGAGGCTTCATGTGAAGGTCACAGGTCTGTTCTCTGGTTAGCACCCCACAGCCCCTGCCAGTGGTTTTAAAAACGTTTGCCTGTACACATATCAAGAGTAGTAAACCCATTCAAACTCTTTGACTTGCTAAACCTACTCACAAGAATTTAACCTAAAAAAAAAAATGCAAGAGAAAAAAAGGTGATACATATAACAAAATTTATTATCCCTCTATCCTTTCTTCCTCAGAAAAAAATACACTTTTTTAAAGTATTACTGGTAATAAAACTCTTAAAATCAACTAAATATCCAAAAGTAGACAAACTGCTCAGAAAATTACAATTCGTGATTTATCAAAAGAATGGAATATTATGCAACATATTTTAAATACAGCATGAGAGATACATAGAAATGTGGGATAATGGTAAGTGAAAACAACCCTGTTACATATCGGATGTAGATTCTAATGACAGCTAATTAAAATATGAATGCTTATGGGAAAAGACTGGCAGAGAAACATGAAAAAATGAAAATAACTAGGGAGATTATGCAAGATATTTATCTCTATTAATTTCCTTTGTCATTGTTAGATTCATATTTTCTGGATCAAAATGTTTGGATTTTTAAAAATCAACAATATTACAGATTTTTAAATTCTTTTCCACAGTAGTTGGTTTCCCAGGACAGTTCGTCAAGGCTTATTTATAGTCCAGCTGAAACACCTTACATTTACAATAAAAAATGTAGCCTATTTGACATCTCCTCTGGGACAGCTCAAAAGCACCTCCAACACAAGATGACCTTCTGCTCCAAATCCGACCCTCTTCCAGCATCCACACCTATGGGTGTAGGGACCACCATCCTCCTACTTTCTAGGCAACCTTCCTTTCTATCCCCCTCACTACTCACATCTAATCTATCACCAAATCTAGCTAATTTTGCCTTCCAGACATCTTTAGACTTCTCCCACTTCTTCCCTACACCACCAAAAGCATCCTAGTTCCCATTACTAAAGCCTCTTTGCCTGAACTCCTACAAGCACTAGCACTGCTAGCTCTTCTGCATCCCTTCTCCAATTCATTCTGCCCAGTGTAGCCATAATTACCTTTCGAAAAGAAAGAAAAACGGATTATATGACACAAACTCCCCCCTCCCTCCCCGAGTTTCCATGGCTCCCCACTGCTCTTGGGCTAAAGTCAAAACTCTAACAACACCCTCAAGGACACATGTGGTCTGGCCACCCATCCCTCATTCCCTCTACTACAGCCTTCCTGCTCTCATGCGACCAACCACCTTCTTCTGCAGCGCTGAACCTTCCAGAGCTGCACCTTCCTCTTAGTCATTATTTGAAGAAGAAGACTGTAAGCTCAGGGAGGGCAGGGCTCGTATCCCTGATGACTCACCACTTCCACAGTCCAAGCACAGTGTGGGACACAGCATAGGTGTTCAATAAATAGTTGTTAGGTTATCGAAGGAAGACATGAACAGTGCTAAAAAGTCTCTCTTTAGCCATTATGAAAGCTATCTTATTTAATACACTAAAAATATATCTCTTTATATGTTCACATGTCTCTCATACAAAAATGATCACTGAAGATGGCCGCTCGGAAATAGTTTTCCCAGCCAGGTAGCCTAGAGACCAAGGAACTCCTCGGTCCCACTTCTTGAATGGCCACCACTCTTCCCTTCCCATTCACCTACCCTCATCCGAGAAGGTGGCGGTGCTGGCAGAGGTGGGAGGACTAGAAACGCTGCCTGACCTGGAGAGGAAGAAGGAAGTCCACATGCAACTCTTTCCTCACTCTAAGCTTCCCTTGGACCCTGTCTTATCTTTTATTCTAGAGCCCAAGGCCCAAAGATAACAGAGCCTGCCAACTTGATTTCGCATTTTCTTCTGAACTGCGGCTAGTCTTACACAGTCGCTGGATAGCAAAGACACAGTGTTAGCCAAGAAGGGAGAGCAGACTATCAGCGACTAAGGACATCGGCTCTGGAACAAGACTGCCTGACTCTGAATCTCAGCTCTCCTACTTCCTACCAGTATGAACTTGGCTTAGTCACTTAACCTCTTTATGCCTCGGTTTCCTCAGTTGTAAGAGTTTCCCCATTGGAAGTTTCCTCATTTGTACCTCCCCTGTGGGTTGCTTTGAGAATTAAATGAGTTAATATATGCAAGCAGACTGAACAGTATCTGGCACATAGTAAACACTACTTGCCTGTTAGGCTAGTATTATCACCTATGTGTGAACTTTATTTTTCACAATATCTGAGTCAGGAATTGCAAATACATGGCATATATTTCTCTCTCCTCCACTTCTATGCCCATAGCAGACATCACTAGTCAACCACAACATACTTTCAAGATCCATGAGTGTGACCACAAAATCCTTTCTCAACTTAGTATCCCACAGCTTCTCTAATTATTTAGAGAGGGGATGTGTGATGAAATCATTTTGTCATTCTCAGTCTACGTGAATAAGACAGAAAGATGGTACAAAGAAAGAAGCCATTTTCCTTCTCATTTCTACATGATAAATTGCAATTAAAAAAAGACTCTTTGAAAACCTCCAAAATTATAAATAGCTTTTGGATAAAAGAATGGGGGGAAATCTGAGCGCTACTTTCCGTTCCATGATGAGAGAATGGGCAGTTGTTAAAAACCATGCAATGGCAGTTCTATTCCTGGAAACCAAGGCTGAGCTTCTAAGGACATTTTCCCATTGAAACTCTGCTGAGGCAAGTACTTGGGGGCCAAAGAACCAGAGATCCTTTAAATACATTATAGAGATTTAGAGGAAGGGGAGGGCTAACCTGGGAAAACTAATCAGCATTTATAATTGTTCTTTCAAAATGGATGGCACATTTGACCACAGAAACAATCAAACTGACTAAACAGAAAAGTCATTCATTGATTGGGTAGTAACTACCGGTTACGAGCAGAGCATGAAATGGAGACAGGAGGGGGTCTCTTGACAGGGACATCTGTTGCCCGGCCACAGCAGTGCGGATGCCTCCAATCGGGCTGGTTGGGCAGATGTCCCCGCCCCCGCTCCATGAGGGCACGTTCCAAAGCCACACGCTCCAGGAGGGCAACCTCTGCTGATGGCCATGACGTGTCCTCAGTCAAGGGTATATGAGGACGAGGAATAGATTTTCATTTATCTTGAAAGCCCAGTGCTTGAGGAGCAGTGAGGTTAATTAGAGCAAGACTGGGTCAAAGTCAACTGCAGGAGAGATTTTGAAGGGGATTTGGGAGACAGGTTCAAAAGCTTTAGAAGATGATACTGACACTGTTTTTTCTTTTGCTGTGTGAATGTCTAATGCACTTCAAACTTTATAACTGTTTTCG